AAAAAAAAAAAAAATGTCCCACAGAGAAAAATGTGGAACAAAACTCAAAATCAGAAAAAGACCAGGCTTACTGGTCTGATAGAGATGAGTGAAACCTCTGAGACTATGGCCCCTAGTCACCCTTTGGGCCTGGAATTGAACTCACTCCAGTGGCTTCCAGCCAAACAACAGACAGATGTAAAGGTGAACATTTAAACCAGGTAGGTACACTCCTTAGAAAACCAACCACGGAAGATCAGAAAGGCAGTATTTACACAGGGAGACAGCTCAGAGGGCAGGAATGCATAGGAAAGACAGATACAGGGAAAAGGTAACCACAGGGAGGAAGTGGGAAGAAAACTGTTACATTATAGGGACTACAATCAATATCATGACACAACATGTATATGAACTATTGTATGGAAAATGAATTTGCTTTGTAAACTTTCACCCAAATCACAATTTAAAAATTAAATAAATTTTTTTTAAAAATGTCCCACATAAGAAATAGGAAATAAGTTTACTGGGAAATAAAGAGTATCCAAATTAGAAAGGATGAAGTAAAACTATCCTTATTCACAGATGACATAATCCTACACACAGAAAATCCCAGCGACTCCACCAAAAAATTACTGTAAGACAAGGATTCAGCAAACTGTCAGGGTACAAGATCAACACCCAAATATCAGTTGGGTTCCCCTACACTAACAAAGAGGACTCCAAAAACGAAATCAGGAAAATAATACCATTTAAAATACCCCACAAACACAAGGACAAAATACCTAGGAATAAACCTAACCACGGACGTAAAAGACTTACACAAGGAAAACTATAAAGCACTACTGTAAGAAACTAAAGAAATGTACAGAAATGGAAAAGCATTCCATACTCATGGATTGGAAGACTTAACACCGAGAACAAGTCAATCCTACCAAAAGCAATCCATATATAAAGACAATCCAAACCCAAATCCCAACAACATTTTTTTAATGAAATGGAAAAACTTATCTCCATCTTTATATGGAAAGGAAGCTAAATAGCTAAACCAATACTAAAAAAAATAATAATAAAGTAGGAGGTCTCACATTTCTCTATCTCAAAACTCACTATACAGCCACTGCAATCAAAACAGCCTGATGCTGATAAAAGGACAGATACATCGACCAATGGAATTGAATTGAGAATCCAGAAGTAAATGTATCCATCTATGGGCAACTGATCTTCAACAAAGGCTCAAACTCCATTCGATGGGGAAGAAATAGTCTCTAACAAATGATACTACCAAGATTGGATATTCATATGCAGAAAAATGAAACAAGATCCATATCTCACATGATGCACAAAAACTAACTCAAAATGGATCGAAGACCTAAAGGTTAAAGCTAAAATCATAAAGTTTCTGGAAGATAACAGAGGGTCAAAATAATAGATCAAATTCTCTACATAAATAGCCTATCAGAGAACTAAAAACACATGACCAATAGAAGATAAATAACTGGGACCTTCTAAAATTTAAATATGTACGCTCATCAAAACACTTTACCAAGAGAGTAAAAAGAGAATCTACAGACTTGGAAAAAATGGCAATGACATATTTCACAAGAATCTAATCTCTACAATATATATAAAACTTCAATTCAACAACAGAAACATAAACAATCAATTCAATCAAAATCTGGGCAAAGGCCAAGAACAAACTTTTCACCAAAGAGGACACATTCAGGCAGCCAACAAATACATGAAAAGATGCTTGCAATCATTAGCCATTCGAGAGACACAAATCAAAACTACAAAGAGATACCATCTCAATCCTGCAAAAATAGCAATGATCAAAAAAAACAAAAAAGTAATAAATGCTGATAAGGCTATGGGAGGATTGAAACTCTTACACGTTGCTGGTGAGATTGTAAAATGGTACAACCACTATGGAAAATAGTAAGGCACTTCCTCAAAAAACTAGAAATAG